CTTGAAACCATATAACTTTTGTCTGAAACATTTTCTTATAAAATGCAAGGAAACGGAAATATTTGGGGTGATAGATTAAAATGGGTCACCCTGTATATATATATATATACTATATATAAAATGCATGTTAATTTATTTTAGAAAAATATATACTTTTGCTTTAACTTCGTTTCCAAACCAACAATAGATGAAAATTTGTGTCAATATGGCACCTGTATACATCATCAATGAAACAAATGTCACATAATCTGTCGCCATTGCTATTCGATATAAATTCGAGCATACCACTAACATGCTTACTGCAAACTGGAGACCAATTATTTTCGCAAACATATTATTTATTGTGTATGCATATCTATAATTAAATATGAGGTTTAGTTTTATGCAAGTAGTCTTTAAAGTTATACATAAATTAAATTTTCATTACTATTTAATAATAAATAATCAAGATAGATATACATTAAGTTTTTACCTTTGAGATTTTTAATAAGAAAGAAAGAATCAAATTAATTCAATTTTTAATAAGAAAGAAAGAATCAAATTAATTCAATAAAATTAATTTTAAATAAAATCTATATATAAAAATTAAGACATTGTTTAGAACGCTTTATTTGTACCTTATTTATATGTTTCAATTATTTTTGTATTATTTAAAGAACGATTCTTATGAAAACGGAACTTTGTATTACATATAATTCAAATTTTTCAAAGAGTAACATAATTACATAAGGAACCAACTCAAAGATACGGTTGTGATGAGAAACACAATCACGCAGAACCTCTTCACCATGGGCCATTTTTGTCAATCGATACTCCAAAATTTCAAGTTGGCAACAGATGTGCAATAAAAGACCGCAAATGACGCTCTCACAAGCAACATTTACTATACCAGAGGTTGCCATGCCTATCAACTGGTGAGTATAAACAAGAAAGTATAAGGCAGGATACGAATAGTTAAACGGCACCCATGCTTTATATGTCAAATTTCTATTTGAGAGTTCCGTAAAAACAGACGTTAAAACTATTGATATAATTGTCGCCATAATGAGAATCAAATATCGTAACGTGCTATTCCTATAAAATGATCATAAAAATTATTTAAACTAATTCTTTATTTAATTCTACTATTATTTTATTACTGTATAATATTTTTTCCTAAGCTCTTTTTTTATTTATTAAGTATACAAATATTTTTTTCATTTATATGAAGGTATAGTAATCATAACTTTTGGAAAAGTGAAATTCTATTACATATTACATATCTATTTGTATAAATCTATTTCTATTTCTATCCATTTGTATAAATTGTTAGTAAAATATGAATACAATATAACTGCATTATTTTTATTACTTTGAAGTAAAGGACGTATAACAGATATTTTGTTATTTAGAAAATATTTTATTGAAGAATAATATTAAGAAATTTTTTTATTTGCATGAAATTAATGATACTTACTGTATCATTCTCTCAAATTTCTGTTGAATCTTCAATTCTTGTGTTTCACATGCTGCAAAAGGTTTTTCATTCAGAACGTTGATTATCACCATAACATTTTTGCGATCTATCCACATATAAACTTGTTTATAGCCTGCGACGAATACGGTCAACATCATGTATAAAGAATCAGTGAACTCATCAGAGTTTTCCACGTTCAGTACAATATTCATAAATTGAGATATCGAAAATATATATAATGAAGAGACAAGAAACATTGCGTATGTTTTATAAATTATATGTTTAAATAATGATGTCCATGAAACCGGTTGCCAGCATCCAGCAAATGCGCAGACTAGGAGTGTAAATTTCAGCACTCGCATTTGAACCTCTTTAATGCAATTTTGCTTACACCAATTGCTATTAATATTTATTAATTATTTTTTAACATTATATAGAAACATTTCTCTTCAAAGATAAAGGTCATATACTATTATAAAATAAATTTATTAAAAACGTTAAAAAAGAATATAAAAGAAATAAAAATTTTACTTTTTTTAATTTGCTTAATAAAATTCTAATTGAAATATATTTTATTCATTTTGTAAATATATTTTCTATAGTATAATATTACTTTGTGTAGCTTAATTAAAGACATTTAATATAAAAAATTAACATTATTAAATTTTGATTAAGATTTTGATCTGATTAAATTTTGATGAAAGGAATTTATATTTATAGAGATAACTTATTATTATAAGTTAATAAAAAATATATTAATTTGAAACAGCTCAATAAAATTTAATTATTTTATGTTAAGATATGTATATAATATTTTTACAACGTATTTACTTTTTTATATAAAGATCTTTTTGCATCATGAATTACTTACGTTTATTCAATATTTCACTTTTAAATTAATTTAAACTATTTATATAATTTTTAAAAGCATTATCTAAGCTCTTGTTGCGTCTTAAACGAAAATAGATAAGATTTGAAAAAAAAAAACTTGGAATGTCTATAGAATGTCTCGCGACTTTCTGATAATGATACTATTCATTACGTATTCTCCGTATGTATCTCTGCTGTTATTATTGTAATATCCATACATGCAACCTTCGATGATATCCTTCGAAATATCTTCACGAGTTAAAATGCGGGATTCTTTTGATATATGTTCTATTAGAAATTGTATAATATACTACTATTTCCATAAAGACAGCAAAACTGAAGAAGGAAAATTGATATATGAAGAGAAATAAATTCTTTGACTAATCAATAAATTATTAGTCATTAACTATTTGCAGAATACTTCAATATAAATTCTTTGTTATATATTGTTCCATCAAAATATTGTATTGATTACTTTCCACTGTGTTGTCTACAATTTTAAACATATCATTTTGAACATCAGTTAACGAATCATTAGTTGCAATTTACTTTTATAAAATCTTAATACTGATGATAGTTCATATATTTAGTTTTACATTTATTACGTTTTCGTTATCCTGTTCTTAAATCTTCTTTTTTATTCTGAGCAAAGATGAAGACAATGAAAGGGGAATATAGCTATATCTTTTAGTCTTGTCACGCAAGCTCCTATAAGAAGGTGTAGTTTATAAGTGTATGATGTGTTATAACGTTATTTCTATATTGTGATTCCTACATTTATTCTCTCCTACATCGCGAATGTAAATGAGATAAGACAGAATTTTAACCTTTAAATTTTTTACGTACGTATACATAAATTAATAGTATAAAATAAATTAAAGTATCTATATAAAAAATAATATATATTATTATATCTACTTATATATTTTATATAATAATATATACTATATATATAAAATAAATAAGAGGAAGGTCACCGATGCCGACAAACCATTTTGTTTTTAGACAATATTTCTTAAACAAAAGGTAAAAATACAACTTCAAAAACATAAATACAAACTAAAAAGTGTCTTCTATCAGATAGTATAAGCAGTTTTTAAAATACTGTTTGCAATTTTGTAATAATTAAGTTTTTCATAAGTTATGCAAAAATGAGCGTCTGACAAAATGGGCTCCAAAACCGACATAGTAGGCAATAATGGCAATATTCCTGTTCTATAAATAAAGATATATCCTATTCTGTAAAGAAAACTAATTTATGAAACTATAAACATTCAAAATGACATAATATTATCAATAATACAGTCACTATTATTTTAATTACACAATTTGCAAAAGAACACCGTAAGAATTTTCTTCTCGGATTCATAGAATTTGTTTTTAGCTGATTTGGTATAGAAAAAGCCACAAATATATGAATTATGAGTTTGTACTTCTTTAATTAGCTAAACAAATTATGTTTTTATTAGTATCAATAAGGTTAGTTTCTAAGAAATAAGGAGATGTCGCTTTAAGAGACATATGTCAGTATCGGTGACCTTCCTCTAGCATAAAATGAATTAAAATTAATTATTGATAAATATGTATGTGTACACTCGGCAGCAGAAAAGTTGCAACAATTTTTTTTCGATGGGTTTCGGAATCGATGGCTTGCTCATCGCGTGATTGGTTCTTACTTAAGGGTCTATCCAATTACATTCAATCGCTTTACAAGCAAGATTGAGTTCCAAAGTCCATTGAAAAAAGTGTCACAACCTTTCTGCTGACGAGTGTATAGCTTATATACATATAATGTTAATTGTTGGTTATATCGGATGTTAAGATACAATGCTGTCCAAAATAAAAATTAATAGTATAACGTAAAACGTTCCATATAAGATCGCCAGTAGTTACAACAATGAAACTAACACATAGCCAACGCTATGACTGTCAACTGATGAATTAGGTTCTGTCAACCAGTACTAGGCTATCATTGGCAAATGACTGGCTGTTAAATGACGGCCAAAGTGCTGTCAGCCAATACTGGGCCATCACTGGCAAATGATTGGCTAAAATGACTGGGCCAGTACCATCTGCCAGTACTGGGCTCAAGTTATCAGCCAGTATTTAGCCAGTATTGGATCAGCATTGGACCGATTGTAAAACCCTATATGGAATATCTGTATAATAAAGAAAAAGTAAAATACACACACACGCACATAATGAAATTGCTTATAATGATTTTATTTATATATTAAACGATTAGATATGTGATGTAAAGGAATTGCCAAATATGAGCAGACACTAGTTGTTCGTGTGTAATCCAAAATGTATATATTAAAAAAATGTGATACAGACGTTTCAACCCTGGTATTGGATCCTCTTCAGTGTAGAAAATATGTGTTTAAAGATAATTTCATGTGATGTCAAATTAAAGTAAAAAACGCTCAATCGTCAAAACATCGTTAAACTATTGTCGCTGTTTGAATCTTCAAAAAGTCGTCTGTTATATTTTATTGAATATATAAACAATCCATGTTCAAAAAATTCTACTAAAATAATTGATTCAAAAGAAATTTAATTAATTGTAATAAAATTGTATCACATTTTGGATTACACACGAATAACTGATGTCGGCTCACATTCCTTTACATCACGTATCTAATCGTTTAATTTATTTGGAGAGCCTTTCGTATTTTTAATTTTATTGTTTATTTATATATTCAACATTAACACAACTTTTTTTTAATTATTGATAAAATATTTTAATCAATATTTTTTACTTCTCCAAAAAATACTTAAATAATTGTTTTATGTGTTATAACTGTTGAAGAAGTAATAAAAACTCTTGATAAAATTGTATAAATCTATAGATAAAAGATCATTTTATTGATACTAATACTTAATATTTATTTCTACATTTCAATATTCTTTTTATATAATTTTGTAAAAATTAATAAGAACAATAACAATTCCTATTAAGCATGTTACTATTCATTCGTTTGATGCAGCAAATTGAAAACCGAATATGACATCTTAAGCAACTGTAAAAAATTTATATATTAAAAATTATTAAAAATAATTGTAAAATTTAATAATAATATCCATTTTAAATGTCTGATACTAACAGCTACAAACGACTCAAGATTCATCGTGATTATGTACCCGCTGGTAAATTCGATAGGAGTCATTGCGCGCTTCATCATTAATAAGAGAATTTTTTTGTTACTATTGCTAAGCGCCAGCCATTCTATATCATAAATATTATTTATCAATTGAAGGCTCTACAAATAAAAATGCATGTTTTATATAACATTATAGTAAGAAGTGTTATATTTTTTCTGATAATCTCAGTTACGTATTTATTTTGCATTTAGCACCGCAATTAATTTATTTTAAACAATATTCAGTGTATATAAATAGAATTAATTTGAATAAGATGTACTTTTAACTTGATTTCATTTCCAAACCAGCAGTAGATGAAAATCTGCACTAAAATAGCACTCGTATACATTATCAGTGGAATGAAACTAACGTAATTGGTCGCCATAGCTATTCGATACAAATTCGAGCACACTACCAACATGCTCACAGCAAACTGGATAGCAATTATTTTCGCGAACATATTATTCACCGTATATGCATATCTGTGATTAGATTAAAAATTTTCAGTAACATTTTAATATTCTTACACAAACATATTTTTTTAATTATTTACAAATTATAAGATTTATGTTACTTAATTTTAATTGTTCGTTTAATACAGAATATTTAGTAACAATATTTTACTATTCCCCCTGCTCCTTTTTTTTACAGATCTTCTATCTCAGAATTTATTTACCTTCAATGAAAATTTTATATGCACTATTTTATTTAATAAATATTTAATCTTTGCGAAAATATCTTTTTAATCTTTCTTTTTTAATCAAATTCCACTTGAAGTTTGTTGAAGAATTGAAAACTTTATTAACTATAATATTTATATTTCTTTATTTCATTTTTGTCCAAAAAATCTTGAGATCTTTTATAAATAAAAAATTATTTATCTTTCTAATTATTATAAAGAAACTAGTTTAAGATCTTCATTTATTTATTGTTTCAATTATTTGTCTATTTAAGAAATAAATAATAATTGTTTAAACCATCTATATTTTGCGTGCAATCCAAGTTTTTTAATTAGAAGAAGAACTGAAAGAAACTTTTGTCTTAAATGTGAACTAACTCAGAGATACGGTTGTGATGACAAACACAGTCGCGCAGACTATTTTGATCATGTGTGAGTTTTGTCAGTCGATACTCCAGAATTTCAAATTGACAGCAGATGTGCAGTAAGAATCCACAAAATAAGCTGTCATAAGCAACATTTACTATACCAGAGGTTGACATAGCCATTAATTGGTGAATATATACAACAAAATACATAACGGGAGAGGAGTAGTCAAATGGTATCCATGCCTTATACGTCAAGTTTCTTTTCATAAAGTCCGTGGAGACAGACATCGTTATTATAGATGAGATTGACATCAAGACGATGATTAAATACCTCCTCATATTGTTCCTGTAAAATAATTATAAAATTTGTTATTACATCAATTCCGCGAGATTAATTCGTTTTTTTTATATTTATTGCAGTATATACTTATAATAGTTCTTATCTGTAGGTATTTACAAATGTAAAAATATTCATAATTCTACAAAAAATTTAAATGTGTTTTGGAAAAATTTAATAAAATAAAACCAAAATTTTTCGAAAAAAAAACCGAAATTTTTCCAGTTTTTTTCCAGCAATTTAAAAAAAGCTGCTTTTTTAAAACTATACACATTATTATGTAACATAAGTAGATGCGCTGTAATTACTATAATGTTATAATTACTATATAAAATATCTAAAAACGCAAGGCAAGATATTGCTGCCTAGAAATTTATTGAGGATTTAATGCATTTAATTACACAATTTTATAATGACACTTACTGTATTAATTTCTCAAATTTTTCTTGAATCATTACTTCATGTGTTTCATATGTCGCAAAAGGTTTCTCATTAAGAACATTTATTATTATCATGAAATTCTTACGGTCTACCCACATATAAATCTGTTTGTAGCCTGCTACGAATATCGTCAACATCATGTATAAAGCATCGGTAAATTCATCAGAGTTGCCGACATTTAATGTAATGTTTATAAATTGAGAAATCAAAAATAAATTTAATGAGGAGATCAGAAATATTGCATAAGTCTTATAAATTATATGTTTAAACAGCGATGTCCATGTAATCGGTTGCCAGCATCCAGCGAATGCGCAGAGCATGAGTGAAAATTTCAGCATTTGAGCTTCCTTTTAATGCAAATTAGCCTATACAATTTGCAGTTAACATTTACGTTATTGCTTATCATGGTTGAAATGTTTCCTTTTTTTATAAGGATAGAGGAACAAAATATTAAGAATGATTCTAATATACTAATTTAAGGAAGTTAAAAAATTCTTTGAAATTAATTTTAAAACCTTATTTTTATATGCACTTACAAAGATTTCCTGATTAACTTGTACTACTTGCGTTTATTTCAACTGTCTATCACATTATTAAAATTAACATAAACTGCTCAGGTAATTCTTGAGAACATTATTTGATTAAAACTTCGTTTTTATCTCCTTAAACTACAATGTATAAATGTTTATCCGTATCTCTTGATATTATTTTCTAATTCTGATATTTCTTCTCGTCCCACACACATGTATCTATACTCCTGTTATTATTATTATAATACGGAACTAGTAACGCAACATTCTTGAGAAATAATATTTTCATGAAATAAGACACGAGATTGTTTCGAGATATATGCTTTATTAGACAATTGTATAAGTGTCTATGAATATTTTTATGAAGACGAGATAGAAAAGACAGACAGAATATACGAAAGAATAAATTCTTTGAATTGTCCCCAGTAAGATGTATTATTTGTCTTCTATATTTTCACGATTACGTTTCCTTTAATATAGTTCACCCATGGTATATTACAAAATATTTTACTACCTGTTTGAATATCTTGGTTGTTGCATAGTGAATCGTTGGCTATAGCTCATAGCAATGAAATTTTAATGTTGATAGTTTGTTCGTCCGGTTAGGGACTAATACACTTTTTGTCTTAGCGTCTACGACTGGCTGTCACATGTCGAAATATCATCACGTGCTTCGTTTAATGTTGACTTTACATTTACTCTTCGTTTATATATGCATACACGGGTAAGAAAATATCTTTAATTCTTAGAATAAATTTTTCTATTATAATGTATTTACTTGCACTCATATTATTTTTAGCTACAATATTATTTATTATAATAAAGCATCAATAAACAATTTTAATGCAGACTATAAATATTTGTAGTCCAAGAAGGAATAATAGAAATTGAATAATAGAAATATCACAAAAGTTTGTAATTCTTATAACAATGTTTATAATTTGAATATATCTATTGTTAATATAAATTTCTTGTCCAATAATATCATTTTAATTTTGTTTCTCGTCCTAAGCACATATATTATTATCTTTTCTTATACGACAAATCAAATTACATGCTAATATAAGTTTTCCGCAAAAATTTGATATATTCTTTAAAAATAACCTAATAATTTATATATCAACAATATGTTAATATATTTATTTTTAACTGATTTTTTAACATACCTTGTACATCACTTTATGAAGTATAAACGATAACAATGCCGATTAATCTTGTAGAGAGTGCTTCAATAGATTGTAAGCTGAATACGATGATTTCAGTAACTGTAAAAAGATTTAAGTATTTAATATTACTTGAAGCGTTTATAATAAAATATAAATTCATTTTTATCAACTAATACTGACAGACACAAATGAATCAAGATTCAATGTGATAATAACCGCGCTATTAAATTCAATAGGAATCATTGAGCGTCTCATGATTAGTAGCAGGGCTTTTTTGTTCTTGTTATCAGGCCACTTCATGTTATATATGCTGTTTGCTACTCCAATGCTCTATATGTAAATATTGCTCATTAAAAAAGATATATCACGTGTTGCGTAATAATATTTCTTTTTCTTTTTTCAATTTTTTTATATTTATTTCTTTAAAGTTCTAATAGTGATAAACGAGAAATATAATTTATTTTTTATATCTATATGTAGGATCATATGTGTACTTATATAAATTATATACTTTTAATTTAAGTTCATTTCCAAACCAACAATAGAGGAAGATCTGTGATAACATGCAGGCCGTGTACATTATCAGTGTAACAAGGCTTCCATTGTTCATTACGATAGAAATAGAAGCCAATTTGTATAAATTAGCACACACCACTAACATGCTTACTGCGAACTGGAGAGCAATTATCTTCGCAAACATGTGATTTATTATATGCGCGTATCTAACATTAAATAAAGAAAGAAAAAGAATTTTAGTCTATATGTAACTTTAAAGCCATCAATCTCATCGAACATCTTTCATAACACTTTTTATGAAATAAACAGTTTAATAATTTTCGAACTACTTTGAGATGAGAATTTCGCAGAAGAGAACGTACAAATAGACACTTTTGCGTGTAATGATTATATTTCAAATATTTTAAAAATAACAAAATTATTTTAAAAACTAACTCATATATACGGTCGTGGTGACGAATGCAGTTATAGAGAATATGTTGGTCATATGAAATTTTCGTCAACCGATATTCCAGAATCTCAAGCTGACAGCAAATCTCTTGCAAGAATCCGGATATCAGGCTATCACAGGCAACGTTTACAGTCGCACAGATTGACATACCTATTATTTGGTGAGTGAATACGAAAAAAAATATAATTGGTGATGTGTAGTCAAATGGTATCCATGCTTTGAATGTCAAATTTCCTTTCATAAAATCCATGAAGATAGCATTTAAAATTATACATATGACCGTTGCTTGCACAAGGCTATAATACCACAATGCGTATTTCCTATAAAATATATTTTTTATGAAAATATTCTGACGGCTACGAAAAATTGTTATGTCCATTTGTTCTCGAAGCGTTTACTTATATATTACTCACATTGTTATATTTTTTCGAATTACATATATATATATATTACTATTTATATTTAAGTTTGTGACACATTGATAAATTAGAAGCATTCTGCTTCTAAATTATCAATATCTTACGAACATGAAATAAATAATATAATAATATTAATATAATTCGGAAGACTGCTTGTAATGGAGCATTAAAATAATTATATTCGGAAAATGATCAAATTATGTTAAACATAATATATGGATATAAATAATATAAGGGAGAGTCGCCGAATGTATACTACTTGAAGCAATTTTTTATTATATAATATGTTCCATTTAATACTGATTTATATATGCAAATGAACATTAAAAATTGCAGCTTGTTTGTTAAAAATTGCATTGTTTATTATTACATATTTAAATTTTTAACATATTAATTTGTTATGTCGTTTTGAAACATACGATGCATATTTCAATATGCATGGGACTGTGAGGTGGATCCTGCTTTATGTGAAAAGTCGGACCCTTCTAGACAGGGAAAGCGTGGAGTGGACCTCGCTTTGCATGACAAGTCTTTACGAAATTGCAAAAATTGTGTTCCATTTATGTAACTTATTTTGTTATTAATTTTTAACGAGGGATGTTCAAAACTTGTTGGAGGTCACTCAGGGCCATGACTCCTTATTTTTAACATGTCAAAATCATTGAAATCTGTGAGGTCGACCTCATTATGCAATAATTACTTTAATTTCTCATTTATTCCATACTTTTGTTACTAAATGTTACTTATATTACATATCAATACGCATTCAGCAAGTCTCCCATACTATGTACATTGTATTATAATTGTGTTAATTAAATAAAGTATATAAATATGGTTACATTCTGAAGTATTGTTATAATGCATTGATGGAGCTAAAACATTCTGATTATTCAGAAATTATTATTAATTATAACATAAACTTGATTATTGAATTATGACTGTTGCAATTTATGCTTGTATAATTCAAAAATAATACTTACCTTATTGTTTTATCATATTTTTGTCGAATTATTACTTCGCATGATTCCGATGGTTTAAAAGGTTCCTCCGTAAGAACATTGACTATCATTACGACATGTTCTTTAATTATCCACATAGTAACTATTTTATAAGTCGCGACGAATATCGTTAACGTCATATATATATTATCGCTTATTTCATCAAAGTTGTTAATATTTAGTACAATGTTCATAATTTGCGATATTGTAAATGCACTTGTTATGCAAATCAGCAATATTCTATAACTGTTATACATTATATATTTTGACTGCGATATCCATGTAAGCGGTTGCCAGCATCCGCAGACCGCACAAAGTACAAGTGTAAACTGCAGCACGGCCATTGGAATTTTTTTTAATTTAATCTTGCCTACACATTAATTACTATAACAGTGTTATGTCTACTCATAATTTCAATATTATACATGTAAAATAAAAAGAAGTATAAGATTAAAAAAGAAAGTGTTATATAAACGTATGTACATATAGTACGCGCGCACGCGCGCGCGCGCGCGCGCGTGTGTGTGTGTGTGTGTGTGTGTGTGTGTAACACTTTCTGTATACATATATATCAAATAAAATTTTTTTTCTTGACATTTTTTAAATATAAAGTTTAACTTCACTTAAATAGACTTCAAAATTGAATTACTTAAAAGAAAGGTATACACTCAGAAAGATCAAATAGATAAACCTATTTTTTCCGAATTTTTTTTGTGAAAACTGTTAATTTTAAACAGTTAATTTCAAACAGGATTTTAACCAATACACGTACATCAGCGTAAAACTTTTAATTAAAAATATTAACAAAGAGCGCTGGCACAACTCACAAATATATAGGATATTGACCAAAACTCTGTTTTAAAGTAGGTAAACAGTTTTCGTAAAAAAATTCATGAAAGAAATTGGCATTTTTTTCCTTCTGATTTGTCCTCTACTCTTAATTTAAACGTGTAATGTAAGACATTAAGTAAAAAAATTTCTTTTAATATTTCTAAATAAATCGAATGATTTTATTATAAAAATCTAAGAAGACCATAATTTAAAAATAAACATAATATATAATTCCACAATTCCATTTTTTAAAGTATAAATTTACAATATTTGTTATACTTACAAAGTGATTAATTCTCACAATCAATTACTTAACATCACATTAAAAGTATTATTATAAATATCTTAAAAAGTAATTGATATTATTTAATTGTGGAAAAATTAATGGAAAAAATTATATAACTAAATCATATTCACGTGTCAAATAGAATGAATAAATTGTACGAGAGAGCGAGATACACCCGGAATGTCTATAGCCTCGCGACACTTATGTTCTCTGACAATACACAATACTGATCGTGCGTCAAACCTTTTTTATCTGTCTCTATTATTATCGTAATACCGATCTTGCAACGGTGCGGAATATTACGTATTTCCATGAGACAACATATAGATAAACTACAATTCTTTCATGTGATGGAATAAATTTTATAAATAACATTTCCATGAGGTAGAAGGCAAAGTAGAGATGTAGATTTACTTCGAAAATTCATCAATATAAAATATCAAGTATAAGTTGCTGCTATGAAGTATGCATGCGTCACTTATTGTATGTACATTGATAAAAAAATACTTCTTTATTACTGTCACTAGTCAGTGCTTCACATGTTATCACGTGCTTCACATGTCATTATATTTTACATATCGATTTTTATTTGTGATGGCCAGTGAAACATAAATGTCGGAGAAGCAGTGAATTATAGAAGCTAATTTAACAGTGACGTAATATCTTCTACGAAAACTCTTTTTATAATATGTTGATAGTTATAGCAACAATTAAAACAATATTGTACGAAAATTTTCAATGTGCAAAAAGTGTGAATGTTAATACATGCTTAACATTAATTGTAACGACATCTTAATTATCAATTCATTCAATTATATGTATACCATCATGGTATATATATATAACATCAAGGAAAATACAAAAATAAAACATTGCATAAATTGCAGGGGTTTCGAGGCTTGTTGGCACAAAGACCAGTTCGCATTTTGTTCTATTTATATTATATTTATGGCAAAAGAAACAATAGAAAATAAGTAAGGTTATATTTATATACTTTTATATTATAGATAAACATTTTTGAAAATTACCTATATTTTGATTTATTCTATCGCGCGTGCACACATTCTTCTACTAATATAATTAACTATTATTTAATATTTCTTGACAATTTTATAATATTTGATCTTGAAAATTTGTTATTGACCTTAATTATCTAATTGCTATCACTAGCGATGTGTCAATAATATAAATTTAATATATATTTATTGTTAATAACACTTTTTAATCTTGTTCTATGTCACTATTTCTGCGAACACATCAATACATTAAAAATCGAATATGATGTTTTAAGAATCTAAACGTAGAATTAATATCAAACTTAATGAATTGTTTATTTACTATACAGAAAAAATAAGTTTCTCATACAAATCGTTACGAAAGTGCTGAGATTTACTAGCAAAATGTCTGCGCCAATAAATTTGATTGGTATTGTAAACGAATGATAATCACTAAGATTTTCTTAATGATCCTTTTCTTTACATTATTGTTAAACATCATTCAGTCTATGTCATAAAGACCGATAATTTTGAAGAACTCTTAGATAAAATTATGATAAATCTATATATTATAGATATACAGAGTGGGCCAAAAGTCGAAATCAAAGACCGACGGAATAATACATTCGAGGAACGCATTTGTAAGACTATATATTGATAAATTAATGCCAGAATAGAAGCTACAATGCCTTGTACTATATATAAGAAACAGTATTGAATGATTTTTAAAAACCATTTGAATTAAATTGAAGCATATTCAGAGTCAATTCGAAGAGACTATTGAATTTGTCTTTTTTGTGCTTTTATAGTACTAAATTGAAAATATAGTGCACCATTAAAAAAAAAGAGATAACTTTAATATAAACTTAAAAAATTTAGAAAATGAAATATCTTTTGTATATTTTTTCAGATTTTAAATAAAAAATTATAAAGAAAATGTATTTATGCTTTCTTTGTATATTCTATGGTTATCAGTTATTTCAAACAGCATTTATCTAGATAGATCTTCTATGGAATATACGAGTAGAGAAACAGCTTTAACTTTTTAATGTTGAAAAAACTGAAGATGTTAGTAGTTATTAACAGTAATTATAAAATATTTTTATTATAATATATTTATTTGCAAGCATTTTCAGTGACAATATTATTTATTACAATAAAATATCAATCAACAGTAATGTAACCTAAATGAATATTTATAATCCAAAGAGAAATAATAGAAATTGCGTAATAAAAATAGCGGAAAAGTTCATAACATTATTCATTTGGATATAATATGTATTTTTACTATTAATATAAATTCCTTGAAATGTTATTTTAATTTTGTTTGTCATTGTAAGTACATTTTAATATTTTTTCTTACACACTACAAATAAAATACGTGTATAAAGTCTTCCGCAAACACTTCATATATTGTGTAAAAATAATTTAAATAATATCAATGATATGTTTATATCATTGATATAAACATATCGTTGATATTAACTAATATGTATATAATTTATCTTTAACATACCTTGTACGTCGATTCGTGGAATATGAACGAAAACAATTTCCGTTTATCAACCTTACTGAGCGCGTTTTAATATATTGTAAGCCGAATACGATGCTTTAAGTAACTGTAAAAAAATTTTTAATGCACTCTATATTATTTAAAACATTTATAAAAAAAATTAAACGTATTTTTATTATCAACTAATACTGACAGCTACAAACGAGTCAAGATTTAATGTAATGACAATCACGCTATTAAATTCAATGGGAATCATCGAACGTCTCATGATTAACAGGAGAGATTTTGTACTTTCGTTATCCAGCTCCTGCCACTTCATATTATATATGCTGTTTGCTACTCCGGTACTCTGTAAGTAAACGTTTCAAATATTGCGTATTATTAAAAATAATGAATCATGTATTATGTATTAATATTTCTTTTATTTTTTGACAATTTTTAATCTTTATACTCTAAAATTCTAATAGTTATAAAAGAAAAAGAATACAAAAGAATAAAAAATAATTTATTTTTTTATATATATAACTATAAAATCATAATATATGTTGATAAATTATGTACTTTTAATTTGAGTTCATTTCCAAACCAACAATAGAGGAAGATCTGTGATAACATGCAGGCCGTATACAGTAACAGTGTAACAAGACTTCCATTCATCATCAGGAGAGAAATAGCAGCTAATTTATATAAATTAGCACACACCACTAGCATGCTTACTGCGAATTGGAGAGCAATTATTTTCGCAAACCTGCGATTTATTATATGAGCGTATCTACGATTAAATGAAAAATTTTAATGTGTCTGAAACCTTTAAAATTATTTATCAATCTCATCAAATATCTCTCATGACATTCTTTGTTAGATAAACGATTTAATAATTTCTGAATTATTTTAAAATGAAAATTTCGGAAGAACACGCATGTACAAACATACAATTTTGTGCAAAGTGATTACATTGCAAATTTTTGAAATAACAGAGTGGTTTTAGAAACTAACTCATATATACGATTGTGGTGACGTACACAATCGCGAAGAATATGTTTTTCATGTAAAATTTTCGTCAACCGGTATTCCAGAATCTCGAACTGACAGCAGATCTCCTGCAGGAGTCCGGATAACAAGCAATCACAGGCAAGGTTTACAGCCGCACAGATTGACATACCTATCATTTGGTGAGTAAATACCAACAAAAATATAATAGATGATGTGTAGTCGAATGGCACCCATGCTTTGTATGTTAAGTTTCCTTCAATAAAATCCATAAAGATAGCATTTAAAATTATGCATATGACTGTTACTTGGATGAGGCCATAACACCATACTGCGTATTTCCTATAAAATGTATTTCTTATGAAAATGTTCTAAGACTTAGCTTAAAAATTGTAACATCCATTTGTTTTTGAAAAGTTTACTTGATTATATTCTTATTGCTACATTTTCCTTATATTACTGTTTTAAATTATATTACTGTTTACATCTGTATTGTTTGTGGGATATTGATGATTTATAAGCATTGGAGGAATGCTTGTAATAATTGAAGCATTAATTAATTATGTTCAGAATATGATCATATTGTGCTAAACACTATATACACTATTAGAAATGTGACCACGGACTTCCCTTACATGTAAATGAAGCTCGTGGTTATGAACCAAATTAAGAGTAATGATTGATATAACTGAAAATTAAGTTACAGTAGTTATTTAAATGTAATGAACGTGTATATTAAATTTAATAAATTTTCATGAAAAACACATAAAATTTCATATACATATACACAAATACATATACATATACTTTTCAGTTATAAATAATAAATTATAAATACATTAAATTTAATGTAACGTCATGAAATTAAGTCCAAATTGTGTATATTAAAAGTATAAAAATTACATGAAATTTTTAATAGTGTATGTACATTGTCTTAAAAATAAATAATTTAGATAAAATATTTATATATTCCATATTACTATAACGTATTTACTAACGCAATGCAATAATGGAAAATTAAAATATTTTGATTATTTAGAAATTGATTACTAAATTAAGACGATGATGAATTTACTTGTATAATATTCGAGAATAATACTTACTTTATCGTTTTGTCATGTTTTTGTCGAATTATTACTTCGCATAATTCCGACGGTTTGAAAGGCTCCTCCGTAATAACATTGATTATCGTTATGACATGTTCCTTGATTATCCACATTGTAGTTATTTTATAAGTCGCGATGAATACCGTCAACGTCATATATATATTATCACTTATTTCGCCAAAGTTGTTAATATTTAGTATAATATTCATAACTTGCGATATTGTAAATGTACATAACACACAAATTAACAATATTCTATAACTGTTATACATCATATATTTAAATAGCGACGTCCATGTAAGCGGCTGCCAGCATCCGCTGACTGCGCAGAGTATAAGTGTAAACTGCAGCACGATCATTCAAACCTTTTAAAATTTAATTTTGCCTATACATGAATTACTCACAGTATTATATCTATATTTATATCTATTTATACGTCCAATATCATATAAATTTAAAATAAAAAATAAAAAATAAAATATTTTTTTCTGACATATTTAATATAAAGCTTAACTTCACTTAAATGGACTTCAAAATTGAATTACTTAAGAGTTTAATGTCATTGACATTGTACATGTAAAAACATTTCTACTAATAAGTTATTTTTAAATAAACCAGAAGATTTTGATATATAAAATATATGAAAGCCATATTTATAAAACACAATATAATTATACAATTCCATTTTTTAATATGAAACTTATAAATTCATATTATTTGCTGTACTTACAAATTGATCAATTCTCACTTGGCATATCACATTAAAAATATCTTGACAAATAATACTATTTGAATAGTTCGTGAAAAAGTGTATGGTTACATCATATTCACGCTCCAAATAGCAATAGACGAATTTTACAAGACGTACATCCAGAACGTCTATAGCCTCGCAACACTACTTTATGATATTGTAGAGTACCCGTTCACCACACCCCTTTTTATGTGTCTCTATTATTACCGTAATACCGATTTTGCAGCGGCGCGGAATATTATTTTCATGAGTCAAGATATAGGTAAGCTACAATATTTGTCACGCGATGGGGTAAATAACGTTTCCACGAGATAAAAGGCAATGTAGCTTTTGAAGGTTCATCAATATAGAACACCAGATGTAAGTTGTCCCTATGAAATATTCATGCGTCGTTTCTTGTATTTTTTATCAAAAATGTTTTTTTTATTACTGTTACTATCCAGTGCTTGACATGTGACATCACGTACTATATTTCGATTTCTATTCATAGCAGAATATAAACATCGGGGAGAAAGTGAATTATAAAAGTTAGTTCAATAGTGATTTAATAATTTCTACGATATTAAGCCTTTTATATACGATACTTATCGTAGCAATTAAAACGATATTTATGAGAATTTTCGATGACATATGCAAAGAAAAGCGTAGGTATTAATGTATGCTTATTTGTAATTAGCGTAACTGCAACATTTTATCAATTCATCTAATAAAATGATATCGGCTTTGATTGGTTTGGGACTTAAGACTATATTTAAGACAGTCTTAAATATAAGAATCAACTGTGAATATCAGCCTATAACTCTTACATATAATGTCATTTGATGACTAGTTAAAGAGATATTAACGTTTAAATATAAGCGAATAAAAGCGTCCGGCCGGCTTACTGTTGCCGAATGTACAATCCACCGATCGCACGGCGCGCGTAAGTAATAAGATTTATTTATTATATTAAAATAAAAAAAGAATATTATATTGTGTAATAGAGTCATCGCTTATATCGAACACAGATTTTGTATCTTGTATGTCCTTTGGTACATAAAAGTATACTGAAAATGAAAGTGATAAATATACATATTCATATATTTTTTTTAAATTACAGTTACAAACAATAAATATTTAACATTGATATCATCATTTCACAATAATTATCTTATTATAATTTTGTTACAATTATATGTTTATATATTAAATTAAGTTTACTCTTTTATAAAAGAAAGGAGGCGGTTATGGAATTGATGGGCGGTTATAGAATAACACAATATTTTGTATAGTTTGAGCTGTATATTTGACGACTGTCAAAATTACTTCTTCACAGTTTGCTTAAGTATTATATAGTGGCCAATGGTCATTGATGTTTACTGCACTGTTCAGTTTTGTAGATACAAGTGTAAACAGTTTTACAAGTGTGTACTGTTTACTAAATTTTGAAAAGTATATTGATATTAAATTTGTAATTTAATTTGGAGGTAATTTAACCTTGAGGTTTCCAAATGATACAACAGTTAAACTAAATTTGGTATCAAAATGTATGTATGTATCAGATGCATAAAGTTATAATCTATGCTATTAATAGTATTACTGTTTCATATTCCCCTTTTATTCCATAATCACGACCTTCCTTTATCTTCAATTTTTTGTAAATTACGTTTTATATTCTCGAAAAACTTTTACCTATAATTGATACCATTCTATGACTAACAAATTTATATCAAAAGTACTAATGGTACATGAATATCTATTGAGTTATTTCAACAAAACGAAGTGGTATTCCGAAAATCCTCTACTTCTGCACTTTTACTATTCTTGGATTCGTACCAATAGATTATAAACAGAGTATGATGTTTTAAGCAACTAAAATGATAAAAATACTTCAGACTATTATAAAAATGTTTATACTTATAAATTCGCCAATGCAATTATTTATATACAAAAATTTACGAAATTTTATAAGTAAAATAGAGCGGGGCTAGCTGTGACATTTTTTCTTTAAATTATTATAAATCTTCACACAATTACGATAGTTAATGGTAAATGCTTTAAAACATTGCATGTTCACACACACACACACACACACACACACACACACATCTGGCTCAATAATTAAGTACTTATAAATCCTTAATATAGCTCGTAAATAAGAAAAACAATTACGTTAATTACAAGGATACAAAGAGGACCAATATGCTCCATCTATGGGACATGTTGAGCATCCTCGAATAATAAGTTGAGCCGTGAAGATAATCGTTTAATGAGGTTATATATTATTAAAAACATGAAAGGATTATTTGTAAAGTAATCAAATTTTTATTATTTGCATCTTAAATATAATAATTTGTAATATTCTTTCTTTTTAAATTCTTTAATTAACAAAATTAGAAAAACTAAAATCTTATAATAATAATTAAACGTAAAATATATGTTTCGTCAATCGTTAACATGGAATAAAAAGCATTGATAAAGACAGATTTTATTTAAGCAGCTGAGTTTATAAAGTTAGTTATGAGATACTGGCCCAATAAATCCCATATCGGTGTTGACTGAAATACTTTTTATAACTGAAAAACTGTCACTAAAATAGCAACTTAAACATTAAAGTTAAAAAATACGATAATAACTTATATCCAAAAAACACATTTGGTTATAATCAATCGCTTTAATTACCATGTAGACCAAAAAGAATACTCACCTAATAATTTTACTTTTGATATACAAAAACGAAAAAGCGCACGTATATGGCTGTTGACAGCCAGACACAGATTATTGTATTAAGGTACAGTAATCTCTGTCTTTGTGCTACATTACGCAAGCATAGACATATCTATATACATATATTTTGGTTATTTAGATATTTGTATTTGACCAACTTGCCTCTATACTCAAATAGCCCCGCGCTACCCTACTATAATTATAGGAATAATTTTTACTATTTAAACTAAATGTAATTAAATAAACAACAATACAATTTTATTTAATATATCTTTACTATTTTAATTATTTTAAGATTAACGCATTAAAATAAATTTTTACACTGACCGCTACGAAGGAATCCAAATTTATAATCAGAATATGTATAGTAGTAATTTCAATCGGTATCATTGCACGCTTCATAATTATTAAGATGTCTTTTTTAACACTATTTTCTACAACTGGCCACTCCATTTGAAAAATACTGTCTGTTAAATGCAAACTCTACAGAAGAAAATGTTTAATATATTATTTGTAATATTCAACAACATGTTTTATTATAAAGATACCTTTAATTTGACTTTGTTTCCAAACCAACAATAAACAAAAATTTGTATTAGCGTGGCACACGTGTACATTATCAGCGCAAAATGATCTACATTCAAAGTTGACTTAGTCAGTTGATACAAATTAAAACATGTTACCATTGTACTTGCCATAAACTGAAATCCAATTATTTGTGTAAATCTTGTATTCACCATCTGCGCAAATCTGCAATCAAGTTCATTTTTAAAGTATTGTGATATTATTATATTCTAAATTAATAAAACTTGACCGCTATAACTGTTTTTTAAATGGATTGTCGCAATAGGAAATTATGAAAAATTATAAAATATATGTAAAATGAACCAAATGAGATATTAATAAAATATTAATTTAAATATTAGTAAAAAATATCTGCAATAAGTACGATAACGGGTAAATATCTAAAATCAGTAATAATAAGTTGATTATCAAAGTAGGTTATACATTTAAAAAATTTATAACTTATTTAATTATTTTAGATGAATAACATAAGAACTATAATATTTTTTTCTTTGCAATAAATAAAAATGATACAAAAAATATAATACTTCTATCACAATTTTGTTCAAATAACTAACACATAAAAGTAACATTGAATAAAATAAATATATAACTTTCCATCATTAATATGTGTGTTTGATACTAACTCAAAAATTCGGTTGTGGTGGCGTATGCAATAGCCCAGACTAAATTGATCACACAAATGTTTTTTTAGACGATATTCCAAGATCTCAATCTGACAGCATATGTGCATTAAAAGCCCGCACAGGAGAGTATCGCCAGCAATATTTATGGAAGCACCGTGGAACGTGCTTAATAATTGTTGACTATATGTAAGACAAAATTTTATATAAGATGAATAATCGTACGGTATCCATCCTCTGTATGTTAACTTCCTGTGTCTGAAGTTCGTGAGCAACGACATCAAAGTCATAAATGTCCATGCTGTCAGAATCATGATCGCGTACCGCAAAGTATTGTTTCTAGAAAGCAACTGAAGAGGTTGTTACATCTATGTTGTTTTTAGTACACATAAGTTTCTATATAAAGTATTTAAGAATGATTTCATTTTTATTCTTTATCACGGAGTATTAATTACGTTGTGATAGTAATATTAGTAATTAGGCTTTATTTTAATATAGTTTTTATTTTAATGTATTCTTAAAATATATTTACCGTATTATTTTATCATATTGTCGTCGAATTTTTATTTCACCCAAATCTAACGGTTTAAATGGTTCTTCAGTAAGATAATTAATCAATGCAACGATGTTTTTATAACTTGAAGAGACGATATAAAACTTATAACACGAAGCCGACATATTTAACATCATATTCAAATTATTAGTGAAGTCGTTAGGATTATCAACATTCATGACAATGTCCATTATTTGCGAGAATGTGAAAGTACATATAATGCTAATTACGTATAATCTGTAGATGTCGTAAATTATCCGTTTAAACAAAGACGTCCACGATTGCGGTCGGAAGCATCCAGTGATCATACAAATTGTACGTGTTAATTTCAGAACATGCATTATAAATTTTTATTTGTCATTAAAAGAAAGATACATACATCTGTATCCGTTTACAACGTGTTTTACTAACTATTGTACTGACTAAATGATTATAGAATTTCTTTAGCAATTTTAATTGGTTTCAAAATAATAATCTGACAAAATTACTATAGCGTAAAACGAAATTTAATATGATTTGAAGAGAGTGCACTAAGAAATGTCTAAAAACGGGACACAATTCTTTGGTACGATATTTTCTCGTTTCTTCCCTATACATTTAATCCTCAGTACCTATACTTCCTGCGAATCCGTATCTATACATATTCGAGTATTTTTAATCCGGCGTTTTCTTTTCCTTGTATCTCGGGTTCTAAAATGCATAGATTTTAATTAATACTTTTTTTAAGTCGATTATTTAAAGAATGAAAAAAAATTTTTCGTAATGAGAAAGTCATCCAAAAAGATTAAAACAGATCTTTTTCAAAATCTCATTGTTTAATAAAAAAAAATTAACGAGAAAAGGTTTTATCAGTGATAAATCAATAACTGTATGTGAGTTGAACTTTAAGAAACTACAGGCGATTTTCAGATCCGTTCTAAAAAAGATATTTTTTTTAGAGAGTGGAAATGAGCGATCTTTCAGTTTTATTAAAACTAATCATATGCTCGACAATCTTTAAATTTTTATTTTTGAATAATATTTTTAAAACAAATGAAAAAAATGCTCCTATCGTTAAATAAATGAGAAAAAATTTTTCTTCTCTTGTAAATATTAACAATTTGCAATAATTACAATAATAATTTTAATATTACTCAATCAACGTACAATATTTAAAAAATATTTAAAATAAATGTTTAAAAAATGTTTTTACATATTCTGTGCTGATTGAATAATTAAATTCCTCTCTTTGACATTAAAAGTACAATAAAATTGACTTAAAACATTTTTTATGACACAAATAATCCAGAGTTAATCACTCTTACTTACATTTTAACTTTATTGTAAATTTGGATTTCCTTACAATTTTCCTACACTAGGTTAATATAATCAGCATACGTATTAACCAACCCCCGCAGTTCCGTAACCAATGGCGTACAAAGGCGCCAAGCAAGGGAATTATGGAGATAATACACAAGTTTTTCCTCCAAGCCTCAGCGTTACTACACAAAGCGTGTTCAAATATCTAAACTATGAAAATTCCGGACCGCGCGGGCTACAGTAACCCATGCAGATAGGAGAATTCTCTACTGAAGGTTGATATCTATATCTTCGTAATATATGTAATTGAGTTTGTCGAGAATAATATCGAACTTGTAATTGTCTGTAGTGTAATATTTATGTAAGGTAGTTGACAGAATTACGTCTATGTGCAATTTTTATTGTAGAAAATGTACTACTTTCATTTCTACATTTAGAGAGAAAGAGAGACAGAGAGAGAGTAAAGCAATAATATATACAGAAGAAACGGGAGAATTAACTTTACTCTACAATCAATACAAGTAATCTTCATAATATCTTGATATATGCTATTTATTGATAAACAAAGTATTTTGTTTATTATCGTTAGCGTCTAGAATATGATGTATCATCCAGTATTGACTTCTATTCACGCAATGTAATCAAACGACGGAATAATACATTCGAGGAATGCATTTGTAAGACTATATATTGATAAATTGATGCCAGAATAGAAGCTACAATGCCTTGTATATAAGAAACAGTATTGAATGATTTAAAAACCATTTGAATTAAATTGAAGCATATTCAGAGTCAATTCGAAGAGACTATTGAATTTGTCTTTTTTGTGCTTTTATAGTACTAAATTGGAAATACAGTGCACCATAAAAAAAAAGAGATAATTTTAATATAAACTTAAAAAATTTAGAAAATGAAACTTTTTTGTATATTATCAGATTTTATATAAAAAATTATCAATAAAGTATATTTATGCTTTCTTTGTATATCCTATGGTTTATCAATTATTTCAAACAGCATTTATCTAGAGAGATCTTCTATAGGATATACGAGTAGGGAAACAGCTTTAATTTTTTAACGTTGAAAAAACTGAAGGTGTTAGTAGTTATTCACAGTAGTTATAATAAAATGTTTTTATTATAATATATTTATTTGCAAGCATTTTCAGTGGCAATATTATTTATTACAACAAAACATCAATCAACAGTAATGTAGCCTAAATAAATATTTATAATCCAAAGAGAAATAATAGAAATTGAATAATAAAAATAGCGGAAAAGTTCATAACATTATTCATTTGAATATAATATGTATTTTTACTATAATATTAATATAAATTCCTTCAATATTATTTTAATTTTGTTTGTCATTGTAAGTACATTTTAATATTTTTTCTTACACACTAAAAATAAAATACGTATATAAAATCTTCCACAAACATTTCATATATTGTGTTATTAGGGGATATATACTCGAAAAATGCGTTTTTATGCTACTTTAGAGGTTATGTACAGGACGCAACCAATTTTTTGGGTCTTTTGTGCTATTTGCATCATTTAGTAATATTCTTACCCTTCAAAATGAGATATTGATCGACTACCTACGATTTTTTTTCGCCAAGTTACGGGCATTTTAACCCACTTGCGTAACCGTTTTTCCCGTCTTTTTCGTTCCTGTTCTTAACAAACGTGAAACGACCACAAATATAACAAAAACTGTTAGGATCATTTAAACACTTACGCGGGGCCATTGTTAAGACAGCAAACAGTCACAATTGTGACTGTTTATATATTAGGACCTTGAATAACGGACAGCGCGTCTTGTGCGCTGCGGCTCTGAGTGCAAGGCGTCTACCAACTTTAAACAAATCATTAGTTTTAAACTTATTAATGCAATGAAAATGAAACTTTCCAGAACATTTGTTCATATCCGAATGAACAACTTTCTCGCTGAAAGTTTTAGGATGCTCGAAATTCGCTCGATAAACGAAGCACCTGAATGCATAAAAAAGGATATTTTGCAGGTGTGTATAAAAAAAATAATAAGTTGTTTGTTTATTGACAAATATCGGTTTTTCTTTCTTCACTATACGTGGAAAACTCTAATGATCATAATTTCGAAAATAGCAAAAAAACGCATTTTTCGAGTATATATCCTCAAATATCTCAAAATCCTGACGTGATAGGCCAATTCTGATTTCAGATTCGGATTCTACGCAGAAAATTACGTCGGAAATGACCCACAGCTTCCCAACAACAAAACCTTGTTGACCTGTGTAATTTAGATAATATCAATATGTTTATATCATTGATATAAACATATCGTTGATATTAACTAATATGTGTATAATTTATCTTTAACATACCTTGTATGTCGATTCTTGGAATATGAATGAAAACAATTTCCGTTTATCAACCTTATTGAGCGCGTTTTAATATATTGTAAGCCGAATACGATGATTTAAGTAACTGTAAAAAAATTTTTAATGCACTTCATACTATTTAAAACATTTATAAAAGAAATTAAACGTATTTTTATTATCAACTGGTTTTATCAATACTAACAGCTACAAACGAGTCAAGATTTAATGTAATAACAACCACGCTATTAAATTCAATGGGAATCATCGAACGTCTCATGATTAACAGGAGAGATTTTGTACTCTTGTTATCAAGCTCCTGCCACTTCATATTGTATATCCTGTTTGTTACTCCGGTACTCTGTAAGTAAACGTTTCAAGTATTGCGTATTATTAAAAATGATGAATCATGTATTGTGTAATGTTTTTTTATTTTGACAATTTTTTATGTTTATACTCTAAAATTGTAGTAGTTATAAAAGAAAAAGGATACAAAAAATAAAAAATAATTTATTTTTTTATATACAATCTGTTCAACAAGAACGTACGGGCTGTTTCTCCTAAAAAAAACACAGAATTGTTAAAAATTTTATTTGGATCTATTATTAAATTCAATAAACTAAAATGCGTTTACTTAGTAAATTGTCCAATCTCCTTTGTTATCGAGTATCGCCTGGCAGCATCGGGGCATGCTTTCCACGAGATTTTCAGCCATTGCCGCAGGAAGATTTCTCCAGATTTCCCGTATATGACGAACGAGCTGCTTTAAATTAAAAAAACCTTCTTTTCTCTGAGTTTCACCTTCATGATTGCCCACACGTTTTCGATGGGATTGGCATCAGGCGACTGGGAAGGCCAATCCATTGTAGTATGCCATTTTCACGTTTCTACTCCGTACACGCAGGACTTCGGTGTTTTGGGTTATTGTCCTCTTGAAGCACCCATGAACTATTATCTGAGCTAAACCATCTTTGAGCAGACTTCAATAAACACTTATGATAAATCATATATTCATTTTCTGTGCATTCAGATTGTCTGTGAAAAGATGTAAAGTACCAAATCCCTGTTTACAGAAACATCCCCATACGTGTACTTTCACTGGGTGTTTTACTGTACGTTGAACAACGGGATCGTGACGAGTTGACCACGCATACCTTCTGGGAATCCAGGCTCAAAAGGATGATTCATCGGTAAAGATTACATTGGCAAAATCACGGTCAATATTAGCCTTTGCCCATTCCAGTCGTTTTTCGATGTGTTTTTCGCTTAAAAAAGGTTTTAACTTTGTAGATCGCCAACCGTATTCGGAATCAAGCAATCGTTGTCTAATAATATTAAGACTCACATCTATACCCTTTTTCAATAAAAGATTTTACGCTCGTCGTAATGAACACCCAGGATTCTTCTCAAATATCTTGATGATAGCTTTGTCGTCCTTTTTCGTCGTTGACCGTCGGGTGCCACATTCCGGCAGGTCGTCGACATTTTTTGTTTCGTTGTAACGTTTCACCCACTCCCTGACGAATCCTTCTGACTTTTTCATGTAGCGCCCGGCAGCTGCATACGACATTTTCGGTCCTTTCGGATGTGTGCAAAGGAACACTGCTTCGAAACGACTTGCATACGCAGCACTCATTGTGGTTATTTGCTCTGTTACAGTCAAAACAAGTCACACTACCCATATGA